CACGGGAAGCGGAAGGAGATCTACAAGTATGAGGCGCCCTGGACCGTGTACGCCATGAACTGGAGCGTCCGGCCCGACAAGCGGTTCCGCCTGGCGCTGGGCAGCTTCGTGGAGGAGTACAACAACAAGGTGGGGGGACGGGCACGGGGGCAGAAGGGGGGGACCCTCCTCGTCCCGGGGTCGGGGGGCGCCTGGGCACCCCCAGAGTCCTCAGGTGCCCCCCGAGGTGCAGGGGATGCACCAGACCCAGGGTGGTCTCCTCCCTGCTGATGGGACCCTGGGGTGCTGCTGGTTTTTGGGATGGTGCTGCTGGGTTTTGGGATGGTACTGCTGGGTTTTGGGGATGGTGCTGTTGGGTTTGGTGCTGCTGGGTTTGGGGATGATGGTGCTGCTGGGTTTGGGGATGATGGTGCTGCTGGGTTTGGGGATAACGCTGCTTGCTGCAGGGCTGGGGTTGGCCCCTGAGCTCCGGGAACAGCGGTGGTGGTGGTTTGAGTCACGTAGGCACCGCGTGCTGCGAGGTCTGTGCGGTGCAAAGGGCTGGAAGGGGAAGGTGTGAGGGTGAGGTGAGGCTGGGTGCTGCTGCTGGAGGAAGGGGAGAAGGTATCCTGGCTGGGGCATAGCTGGCTTTTTGTTCGTTCCATGTTAGAGAAAGCTCGTGGCCAGGACTAAAGTTTGTTGGTTGTATATGTATATATACATATATATATATATATAAGGAAATTCGACTTCTAACGTGGAAGAACTTCTTCCCATGGAGGGTGGCAGAGCACTGGAACAGGATGCTCAGGGAGGGTGTGAATCTCCCTCTCTGGAAACGTTCCAAACCCACCCCCCCCAGATCACTTCCCTGTGTCACTGCTCCAGGTGACCCTGCCTGGGCAGTGGGGTTGGACTGGATGATCTCCAGAGGTCCCTTCCAGCCCCAGCTCCCGGAGAGTCTCAGGCTGTGTTGGGAATGTGCTGTTCCTGTTGTACTTCCTCGCTGTTGGGGACTCCTGTGTGATAACTTTTTTTCAAAAGTATATAAACCACTTTCAGTGATTCCTCAGCACTTTTCCCTGAGAACAAGGGTGTAATGAGGCATGAGATTGTATTTTCAGTGTTTCAGGGGAACCTCACACAGGCAATAGAGGCTGTGTCCTCCTCTCAGAACACTCAATGCAGTCACCTCTGAGCAGAGTTTAGGGTGCTAATCTGGTGTAATGAATCATAGAAATAAAAGAGGGATGAGGAGATGGATGAAGTTACAGAGCATCCAGACATTTGTATGACACTGAGGGTCTTGCCCATGGTTTTATGTGTTTATATCACGTGGCTTTGTCAAGGGGTTTAATGGAGGTCGTGGCAAATCCTGTCAGAAAGTTGGGGGCTGGGCTCTGTGCAGGGGTGTAATGAGGGAGGGACAGGGGTGACCTCTCTCAGGGTGGTTCAGTCACTGCCCTTTGCTGAGCACGTTGTGGTTCAGGCAGTGTGAGCTCTGTTGGTGAGTTGTCTCCCTTTCCTGGTGAGCCTTGTGCTTCTGGGAGTGCTGCTGGGGACAGGCCTGAAAACTTTCCTTTTGTTTAAAGACCAGCTTGAAAATGTTTTTGTAGTCTGTGATCTGAGGAGGTAAAATAGCAAACCTGCCAACAGCTTGTTGTTTAGAGGTGGCAGCATTGGTTAATAAGGGGATATACATTTATGCTACCTTCTCTTTAAGTTTGGGGCATTCCCTGGGGTTGCTCTCAGTTTCAGTGAGATCAGATCTGCTTTTCAGCTCAGGCTTCAAGTGTAAAGCAGCTGAGTCAACCCCCTCCCTTCTGCCCTTCACACTCACAGTTGTAGCAGACAGAAATTGTGTAGGACTATGTAAATTATTGCTGTCTGTAAATATTCCCCAGGGCTTCTCTTGGCCTCTGAGCTCCAGGAATAACGATTCTGTTGACTTCAGTCCACAGAAGCACCACATGCTGTGAGGCCTGAGTGGTGTAAAGAGCTGGAAACTAATTGTGTGAGGGTGAGATGAGTCTGGATGCTGCTGCTGGAGAAGGAGGGATGGTGTATGATTAAAAATTAAACCTGGACAATAAATGCAGTGAACATAACCTTCACTTTTCTGTGTCTCTGATATTTCAGAGTGATTTTTTTTTTTCTTTCTTTTGGGGATTTCTTGTTTGATGCTTTTTGTATGAAGGCAGTTAACAGGGAGTCCTCTTGGCTAATTGAAAGTGTTGTTATTGCTCAGTGTTTTGATGTTGTCTCCTTTACTTTGGGGACCAGAACACTCCCGGGAGTGGTGTTTCCCTGCACTGTCGTTATGCTGCCTTGCTATGACTCTCACAGCTTTGCTGAGTCCTTCAGAGGGTGATGAAACATCCAGGGAATAGTTTCATGCTCCAGATTGGGAACTCTTGGGCAGGCACATGTAGGGCTGTGCTACCTGCACAGAAGTTGTAAACTCTTTCAGCTTCTGTCTATGTTAGTGCTGTACCTAAAGGAGCAAAGGGAAAGAACTGAAGCTTCCCTACTTAAATATTCCACTGTGCTCCAAAGGGCCTGGAGCAGTTGGTTTTACAGCCTGACTTCTGGGCTTAACAGAAATTTAAGATTTTTGCAGGGTATGTGTGAAGTTTTGTCCTTCTGCGTATAATTTGCCCTTCACGGTTGAGATGGTTGATATTGCAGCTTCTGACATCAAAACACACTTATAGGTACAGTTGGCACTAATTAAAAGGATAATGAAAACTGATTTTCATTTCAGCTTTCTCTTTGCACTGACAAGGTCCCAGTTACGTTTCTGTTCCTGATGTTGCAATGGTTTGTTCCAAATAACTGCCTTTCTTCCTTATTAACAAAAATAGTCTGGAATAGCCTAGCTTGCTTAAAGTCTAACCAAATCAGTGAATATACCTTTTCCTTATTACTCTTCTGATTTAGGGTTTGTTTTAAAAAGGTGCTTTTAAAAAGACTCAATTTGTTGCAGCAGAAGTGCTCACTGGGAGGGAATTACAGGGAAAGAAAGAGAGAATTTTTTTTTCTTGTTTGTCTCTGATTTTCTGTTTCTGTAGTAATTACCAGAGTTTGAAGCACCCACAGGTTACATAAAATGGCTGTTTACACCTCTGCTTTGAGGGGAACTCAAATGTATTGGCTGCCAAACCCTAATTCCCTGCTATCCCCAATTCCCAGACACCTCCAGCCCCCATGAACCCTGGATGGCACAGCCTGAAGTTGTTTGCCAAGAACTGTTTGAACCCCAAAGGAGTTTTGTTTCAGCTTGTGCACCTTTGCTGATGGAATCACTGGTACAAGAAGCGAGATGCCTTGCTCCAGTTGGAGGAATTAAACAATTTGAGGTGGTGTTTCCTGAACTTCTTGGGTTGGGGAACTGCTGTCAGGCTTTATAATCCCTCCTGGATCACTGGTGTGATGGGAGGGAATGGAGGTGTTCACAGGTCTCACTGTTTAAAATGTTCCACAGGCTCCTGGTTGTGGCTTCTTGGGTCAGGAATGACCTGTGGAAAACATCAGGAAAGGCTGATTTTGGGTCTCTGTGCAAGACCAAACTGGAGCCCAGTTTAGAAGGCAGGGACTGTGCTGTCCAGTGTGTGCTCCCATCACTGGAGTGGACAGACAGGTTATGAGCAGATGCTTCCCAGATCCAGCTTTTCCCAGACAGAACCACAGAGGGTTCAGGGGGGTTGTTTTGCCAGAAGGTCACTTGTTCTGTAAGATTGAGCATTGCAGAGAAAGATTGATTGCACGTTGAAGATTAATTGGTGCAGTGACATCTTTCTGATTGTACATGACCCTAAAGTAATTGTGAAATGTCATCTTGGTACTTACTAATTGGATTAAAGTGTTGTAGTTTTGGGGTTTTCCTAAAGTACTGAGAACTTACTTCACTGTTCCTCAAACCATGTCAGAAAAAGAAGCTGTTACCAAATTCTGCACTGTTTAGTTCTGTGCCTGATTTATGTTGGAGGCATGATTTTTTTCAGAAGTTAAGGAATGCTGATTAAAGGCACTTTATTGCTCAGATGCACTGTTGCAATTAAGCTTTATGCTGATAAAGACTTGGATTACGATAGCAAAATCCACATCCAGTTTTAGCATATCTTGATGTATTGGAGGAACAAATAAATATTTTGCATTCCCAGCTACTGTCGTGGCATAATTGCAAAACTAGTGGAGATCAAACACACTGGTCCTTGTTTTCTTGTGGAATGAGTTACAGGGAGATGCAGAATGGTTCAGATTGTCTCCAGGGATACAATGACAGGGACTTTTTCCTTAGCATCACCTCAGTTTTATCTGGGCTGGACCTCAGGCCCTCCCTTGTGCAGCAGCAAGCCTTGCCTCACAGAAGGGACACACAGAGCTCTAACAAAATCAGCATCCTGGAAATCATCCCATGGTTCCAGCCTGCACAAGAGGATGAGTGGAGGGATTCTGTAATCACTGGATGAGATCAAGTCCAAAGAGAAGAGTCACAGCTTTGAATATGCTGAGCTTGGGAAGAATGGATCTCCTCCAGCAGAATTCCTGCCTCCAGTGCCTCCTGCTTGGAGTTACTGCCAGTTCCAGTCTCACACCTGACCTGCAGCAGGGGCAGGAGCTCTGATGTTGACAACCCAGTTTGTGTTCTCTAACCCAGCCTGCACCCAGAAATGTCAAGGATCAGAGATCCTGTGGTGCTGCATTGCTTTTCCTTCAGTCTCAGAAAGGGTTAAACATGAATATGCAGTGCAGGGATATCTCCATCACCCCAGTGAAAGTGGGCCCTTTGCTGGTTTGAGATTTGCTTCTGGTGATGAGGATGTTGATTGCTTTGTGTGGGCTTAATACACTGGTGTTGAGCTGCAAACAGCATAAGCAAAGGAGAAATGATTAGAGGTCGTTTGTCTTCTGATCCTGACCTTGCCACAAGATTTTCTATCACCAAGGACAATTTGCTTCCTTTGTAAAATCCGCTTAGTATTTCTGATCCCTAAAGGAGTTAGAAAGCTATTTGTCAATCACTTCAGAAGTCAGGGAGATTTTTTTGACTGATTTATGCTGGAGTGTGAAGGATAATAAGGAGCAGTTGTAATAAAGAGAGGGCAAGGCAGAAAGCACAGTCTTTAGGAGCATACTTGGGTATATCTTCTAGTGTTTGTTATGGGATGGAAAGGATGGAGCTTCTCATTGTGGTGGGGCATTTAAGAGCATCTCTAAATGGGCTCATAAAACTGCAAATATTAAAGATCCACTGAAACATTTCTGGTTTTTCATTGGGTGGGGAAAAAATATGGTAGATTTCCAATCTAGTTAAATATGTGCTTCATTAACCACATTACTTATCCCAGAGTATTTAGGGTTTTTCCAGATAAACATCTCTGAAAAAGTCCATTAAGCCAGGAGGAAGCTGCTGTGTGGAAAGTACTAGGAAGTTCCTACTGGGAGCAGCTTACACAGTAATTGTAGTGAGTCGTCCCCACAATGTTTGTGTTTGGGCAGCATTTCACACAGTGGGACTTTCATCCTGCTTGGCTCCCGTCCTCACTGCAGGTTCAACTCGTCCTCCCGGCACCGTTTGTTCTCTGAACACTTTCTGACATGTCAATATTTTTCTAATAACATCATGTCTGGGACCTCAGGCATTACTTCAGGTGTTGTCATGACCAGGCTGCGTGGAGATGGTTTCTTGTTTGCTGTGTCTTGCAGCACTCTCACAACGGGGCAAGTTTGGCCCTTCCCACTGTCACATCACTGTGCAAAAAATACTCATTTGGAACTCAGTTGTGTAGAATCTTGCAGCAGACCTGCTTTCTTGGTCTTTTCATACAAAACATTTGAATTAGGTAATTATTTTAGCTTCCCAATATTTTTTTTTTAAGGTTTGAATTCTGTTTTGCTTTCTGACTCTCTGATGTGATTTATCTGAGTCTTAATGTCATGCACTTGTGACAGAACGTTTTAGGTCTTGTGATGTTGAAAAAACATCATGAAACATTCATGAAAACTGCCGTGATCCATCACAACCTGCAGGGTTATGGCCAAGAATTCCATGATTGGGACTTTAATTGTGCAAACTGCAGCTTGTTCTGCTCCCTGAGGATGACACTGTCAGCATCAGAGTCGGAATGACGTTTGTGCACTTGAAGTCTGTGACTTAAACTGGGCTTTGCAATGTGAAAAAGGGAAGGGTGGCCTTTAATCCTTTAGGACTGGATTTCAGTTTGTTTGGGGTTATCTCTTCAAAGCACAGCACTGTCTGGTGGTGGATACTTCACTTTGCTGACATGTCCCAGCCGGGAAGCAAAGCCTTCATGATTTCTCATTCCACTGACCTGAGATTCCTTCTGTATTGTCCTTGAGGTGACAGAAGGTGTCCTGAAACACACTCAGTCTTAATGCTCTCATTAGAAATTAATGTTTTGGTAAAATGCTTTCTTTTAAATCTGGTTGCTCACAGGTGCAGCTCGTTGGTTTGGACGAAGAGAGCTCAGAATTCATCTGCAGGAACACCTTTGATCACCCCTACCCCACCACAAAGCTGATGTGGATCCCAGACACCAAGGGAGTCTACCCAGACCTGTTGGCCACCAGTGGGGACTACCTGCGAGTGTGGAGGGTGAGTAAATCCTCCCTAGGAAAAGATGAACCATGGCATCAGTTGTGTTGCATATTGATCTCATTTTCATTCAAGATTTTCTTTGCTGCAATAATGTGACTAAGTACCAAGCCTGTAGGAGAAGCAAAAGTATCACGGTAGTTGCTGCTTTAATCAGCTTATTGAACTTGGAGATGATGGTTGTGTTTTCCAGAGCTTTAGGATGTAAAGCTGAGAGGAAAAAACCCAGGATTAACTCCCCATGTTTTGTGCCAGTGGAACAAGTCAGGTGATGTTGCTGTTTAAGTCAGATACGTTTCATTTTCTCTCGAGGTGGGTGAAACCGAGACCCGGCTGGAATGTTTGCTGAACAACAACAAGAACTCAGATTTCTGTGCTCCTCTGACTTCATTTGACTGGAATGAAGTGGATCCTTACCTGCTGGGTGAGACTGAGAGAATGCTGCCTTTTCAACACACCACTGAATTTAGTCTGGTGGAGTCTGAGCTGTGACTCTGTGACCGGTTAATGTGGTGACCAACCAATGGGCCAACTGCTGCATCATAGAAACTGCCATTGTCTTGGGTTAAAATGTTCTAAAAAAATTAAAATTATCACCTCAGGGAGACTTTTTTTATTTCTTTGGATTGGAAGGTGCCCTCTCCACTACAGATGGGTCACTCAGGTTGGACTAGGGGTGTTCCTTATTTGGGGACAGGGAGTCTTGCCCCTCAGGGCTGCTGAGCTGCTGTTGCAGCGCTCAGTGAGGATGTGCATCAGCTCCTGTGGCTTATTTCAGAGTGTTCTGCGGTGGATAGACCAAGCTTTGTGTTTTGTGAAGCCATTTCAGCAGCAGCAGGAGAGCCAGGAGCCCTTAATTCAGTTGGAGGAGGGGGCTGAACGTTTAAGGTTTAATTATAGCCTGCGGGACAAATTGTGAATCCAAGATGACTGATCCAGAGGTTTGTTTCCCAGAAGAGAACAGCCATTTATGTCAGGGGGGATTTGCCCAGAGATTAACAGTGATAATATGTCTTAGTAATTATTTACTACATGATTTATTTTTTGTGTGTTCCATCTCTCATCTCTTAAGAGCTTTACTGCAAACCCCACCTTCGGTCCAGAGCAACAATCAATTAATAATAACACGCTACCACAACACTGATTGAATTTTGGTTTTGGCATGCACATGAGATGGGCAGGATGGGAAAGTTCATCTCAGACTTGCATCAGGCTTCCAAATAGATTGAAGCAGACATGAGCTATTTACCCTTTATTCCTGTGTGGAAGGCTGTTCCTGCAGCTAAAAGGTTTGGGTCATTGAAATGCAAGGAGGGCTGTTGGCTGTTTGACATTCTTGGGTTTAATTCTATTCTCGTGGCTATTTTGATCTGTAGATGTTGGGGGATATTACATTAATCCAGGAATTGATTAAATCATTTGGGGTAATATCAGTTTTGCTAACAGAAGCTTTTTTTGTTTCAGGTACCTCAAGTATTGACACAACCTGCACTATTTGGGGTCTGGAGACAGGACAGGTTCTGGGAAGAGTAAATTTGGTCTCTGGCCACGTGAAGACCCAGCTTATTGCACATGACAAAGAGGTGATGGGGGTTTTTGATTGTTGGCATTGACTCTTCTTAAAGCAGTAGAAAAGGAACAGAACTTTTCCATTTTCTTCCTTTTTCTTGCAAAATGTAATGGCCCGAAAAGATCATTTATCTAATGTTAAGTCATACAGTTTTGAGTACTTAAATGCTGTTGGCAATTGAAACTACTCTTTTTACTCATCATAGACTCTGGACTGGAGCTCTTGTTTTACCAGGTTATGCTCCAGAATATTTTAGGCAAATGAGATAAAACACCAAACTGGACTTGAAATCAGCTGCATGTCAAAGGCAATAAACAACTTGCAAGATTCTCCCATTTTAACCTATTAATATTCATATGCAATAATATAAATAACATCATATATCAATTTTCAACAATAATATCAAAAATCCGAGTCTGGGAAATTGATACATTTTAGTTTCAGTGAATGATATGAAATTAATTAAATTTAATTTAATTACATAAACATATGTTTAAGTGGGGGCTTTTTTTCCTCCTTTTGGCAAACGCAGCAGCTGAGAACTTGCTGGGGACATGAAGTCTTTGGCAGAACAGGTCACAGCTAGCTGTGCTGCCCGTCCAGCAGGTGATTTTTGCAGGGAGGGGGGAGGCACTGTGCTGTCTGGAGCTGTGTGTGTCTGTGTGCAGGTGTATGACATCGCCTTCAGCCGGGCAGGGGGAGGCAGGGACATGTTTGCCTCGGTGGGAGCGGACGGCTCGGTGAGGATGTTTGACCTGCGCCACCTGGAGCACAGCACCATCATCTACGAGGACCCCCAGCACCACCCCCTGCTCCGCCTCTGCTGGAATAAGCAGGATCCCAACTATCTTGCCACGATGGCCATGGATGGGATGGAGGTGAGGCACCAGCTCCTCTCCTGTAGCTGCTGGAGTTGGGACTTTTGTGGCTTGGTGTTATTTCGTAGTTCATAGAATCCCAGAATCAGCTGGGTTGGAAGGGACCTCCCAGATCATCAATCCAACCCTTGATCCAACCCCGCTGTGGTTCCCAGCCCATGGCACTGATGCCACATCCAGTCTGTCCTTAAACACCTCCAGGGATGGAGAATCCACCCCTTCCCTGGGCAGCCCATTCCAATGGCTCAGCACCCTCTCTGCAAAGAAATTCTTCCTAATCTCCAACCTAAACCTCCCCTGGCCCAACTTGAGAACAAGCTGGCAGTGGCAGATTAAGGACCAGTTCTTAGTGCACTAAGGAGTTAAAGAAGTGACTTTGGTGTTATAAACTTTAAGGCTCATATATATTTCAGAGGAGACTGTGAGCAGCTGGGCAATAATTTTCACATAAAGTTTTAGTCACCTTTTTCTTTCCCAGCTCAGTGTTTAATTTGTCACCTGTGCTGCTTAAGGGAAGCACAATTTGTTTGCCACAATTTGTGGCATAACTCACAAACCCCCTGTGAGATCTGAGTCCTTTTGAGACACACAAAACACTGACCCTCCAGAAGCTGTTCTTTGGGAACATTATCTGCTTGCCAGCTGAATCCTTTAGGAAAGAGCCATATTTATAGCCTGAGCTCAAAATACTTAGTTTTTTGAAAAAATTTCTAAAAAATATTTTTAAATATTAAAAATTGCTTTAAGACTATTTAAATATTTTTAAATATTAAAAATACTTTTAAATTATTTAAAATTATTTTTAAATTATTTATGCAGTTAAAGATTTATTAAATCTGTCTTTTTAAATTAATAATTAATAAAAATCTATTAATTCAGTTGTGTTTTGTTTCTGAAGGTTGTGATTCTAGATGTGAGAGTTCCCTGCACTCCTGTAGCCAGGTTAAACAACCACAGAGCGTGTGTAAATGGAATTGCTTGGGCACCTCATTCCTCCTGCCACATCTGCACAGCAGGTGAGTGTGATCTTACAGGGGAATCTGAGTCTTTCACTGCATTTGCAAAATCCTCTCCCTCCAAAAGGTTATGCACTTCTCTGCCTGCTTTTTGCTAAAGAATAATTGCACTTTAGAAGCTGTTTATTAGTGACTTTCCTAAATTTTTATGGAAATAGGCACCTTCTGGAGTTTACTGTGTGGAAGTCATGAGCCCAAGTGCCCAAACTGTGCATCTGCTCTGGCTAACCCTATTTATTAATGCTCCTTAGGTTTTTTGCAGTCCTGTTTTCAGCTATTGTGAGTTCCACTGATCTTTTGTCTCTCAGCTCTGTCCTGGATAATGTATAATGATCCGAGTGTATTTTGTTGGAGCATTTACTGTATTTCTGGCTGGAATATGGATCAGGGCTGCAGCAGCCATGTCCTATCTGGCCTCTTGGGCTATAAGCCTTGGTAGCCACATGTGGAGATGTTGTTACACTGTGACTCTACCCCCAACCTTCTCTCCCCTGCAGCTGATGATCACCAGGCTCTCATCTGGGACATCCAGCAGATGCCTCGTGCCATCGAGGACCCGATCCTGGCCTACACAGCAGAGGGAGAGATCAACAATGTACAGTGGGCATCCACCCAGCCAGACTGGATAGCCATCTGCTACAACAACTGCCTGGAGATCCTGAGGGTCTAACTCTGCTGCTCCGTGCCCCACTGAGGCAGGGCTGTCTCATTCCCCTCCCCTCTAAAGTAAGAACACCACCAGTCAAGTGGCCAGTATCTGTTGTTGCTTTGCATCTACTGTTACAAGGAACTGTTACAAGGATCGATGGCAGGCCTCTCCTGTCTCTCAAGACTCTAAAATGCAGAGACGTGCTGAGCCTCTTGGACCTTCTGGGTTCTGGTTTTCTTGTCGAATTCTTTTTCCCTCAGTAAAAGTTCTGTATATTTGTTTGTTGACTGTATTAATAAGCTTGCAGGCTTTTAAGTTGCTGCATACGTCCATGTGTTTGTCAGCCAGCTGGGGCAGCACATCAACCAGTTTAATAGATGCAGGTGCAAAACAAGGTGGGGGGAAAAAAAGACATTGATGTAACAGCCACCTTGGCAGGAATCTTTATCATTCCTGTTGTTGCTGCCTCTAAACTGTTTAAACGTTTGTATGTTTTTTATATATTGGGCTAACTTTCTATTGAGTAAGGTTTTTCTCCCTAATTCTTACTTTTGATATGTGATCCACTTCCACATGCCCACAGCAGGACCTGTTCATGGATACAAACCACAGTAACACTTCAGGCTCCCTGGCAGTAAAGGCCTGCCAGAACTAACTGTTGCCTTGGCTCCCTGTACCTGGTGACCTGGGCAGAATTTCCTGGTGCTGTGAAGTACAAGTACTTGTTGCACAATTTCTTTACACTTTTCTGATGCTCAAGGCAGTTGTTACTATGGTAGGCCTTATTTTTAAATTAGAACTGAGTTTGTGTGTACCCTGCAGTTGTGTTAGCACACAGAACGGTGGTAGGTTGCAGAAAGAAGATCCATGCATGACATAAGCTCCCAGGAGGTAACAACTCCTGAAAAAAAATGTATTTGTAATGGACTTGGGGTTGGCACTTCCAGTCAAATGATCTCCCCTCGGAAGACTTCCTATCTAAACCAAAATAAAATGGTTTCACACTTTGTAGCTTGCTTGATTGGCAAATAACCTGAGCAGGGTTTTGTGGTTAGCCTGTACCTTGGAGCTTCTTTGTGCTTGGCCTGTGTTCTGGGAGGTCTTGAAGGGAGTGCAGAGCAATGTTTTTGTGATGTGTGTTTGCTTTGTACTGTCAGCTCTTGCTGACTGAGCGAGATGGGTCAGAAAAGCTGCTCTGCTATCCAACAGAAAGCTCCCTCTGAAAGAAATCATTCCCTAGTGCAATGCACAAAGGTGGATTTAGAAGGAAAGAAGCTGTGCCATTGAGACCAAGGTTTGGCACTTGTCATCCTCTCCTGACTTCTGGGGATGTGCCCGAGGGCTGCTCTTTGGAATAGTGGATTGCTCTACATTAATACTTCTCGATCAGAGCTGAGTGGATTAGGCAAGATAAAAATCTTTGTTGAAGTCTTAATATAACACAGGTACTGGGATAAAAGCTCTGCAGTGCTCTCCAAATGAAGACATGACAGCCAGAGCTGGTCTGGAAGGCTGTGCAGCCCAGTTTCCATGTAAATGTCAGAAACTATCAGAATTGTCTTTCCACCTAATGAGTATTCACCTGCAACTGGAGGCAGTTTATAAATAGTAGGACACTGGCAGACCTGGATCCTGTCAGTTTGTGCAGGAAAGGCAAGTTGGGAAAGCGATTGCTGAGGAGCAGTGAGGCTGACACTGGGAACACTGTCAAACACAACAGAATCTGCAAGGGTTTGTCATTGTGGGCAGACAGAAATACCCTTCTGCAGGCAGCTTCTCACCGTGGAGCTCAGAAAAGCATTGCCTCAGGAATTTGATAGGAATTCATTAGGGACAGCTTTAGTCCATCACTCCTTTTGATCCCAGAGAACCACGAGACTCTCACACAGTTCCAGCTCACGTTGTGTCAGTGACACTCTGTGTTCAGTTGTGGGATTTCTGACAAAGCTTCTTTTGACTTGCAGGTCAGTTTTTCTTACCAGCAGCAGTGCTGGGAGTGGTGTGTTCCACAGACAGGTTTCAGCAAGATGTCAGAGCAGTGTTAGCCAAACAATTAATTACCACTTTTTACAGCAGCACTTCCTCAGAAACTGGAAAATGCTTCTGCAGAGTGAAGTGAAAATTAGGATTTTCTTAGCAGGAGCATCTAATGGCATTCACAGCTTTAGGACTCATCTGAAATACAGGCTTGCCATGCATTGTTTAATTACAAGTGGTAGGGATAACATGCTGTGTTACCAAGAGGGAAGTACCTGCAACATTAGGACTTTCTGTGTCCCCTTTCTGCACGAGTCAGAGATGAATGTTTCTCTTGCTTAGCTGAAAAATGCATCTTTTATAATTATATTATGCTTTAAAAAAGCTATAAGATAATTTAGTTGGAAGTGAAGTCACTAAAAGACTCCATAGGCTACACTAAAGGACAAAGGCAGTTTATTCCCAGAGGAATAAAATGTGTTACACTAAGATGATGAGAAGAGAGCTGGTATAAAGGGACCCAGTGTGAATAGCCAGGTAGATTCTCCTTCTGTTGGAAAACAATCCTGTTAGGGACATGAAGAGGATCCAATGTCAGTTCTCCATCCATAAAACTGCTTGAAGTCTATTTGTGGAATTGGGTGCTTATTCCAAACTTGTCAAAGGCAAGTGAAGGAATCTTGTAGGCTCCAGTGGGTTCTAAATAAAGCCTATATCCTGTTTGTTTAGCCAGTTGGGATACCTTCTGGATCTCCAGCATATTGCTTTGGGCATAATCCATTGTCATTCTTCACATGAAATTACATTTTAAATCACTAGAGACTGTTTGGGCACAGGGAAATGATACTTAAAATAGCTTCAAAGAAGTCACTTGAAAGGTTAATGACTGAAAAGACATGAAAATCCTCATGGGTGAGATGTTCTGTAGTGCAAATGGCACTTCCATATAGACAAGGAAGGGAGAGACTTTGGTGCCCTTTTGCCAGCACCTGCTGACAGTGGCAGGGTAGGGAATGCTCTGGTTCAGGTTCCTCTGCAAGATAAAATAAACCCCGAGACTTATCACTGGAAGAACATGCAGTTTATCACATTTCACCTGCCTAACATTCGATTAGATTGGGTGTAAACCCCCCATAATCATTATTTTTCCCCAAAGTTTATAAAAAGAAATAATTTTGTATTTAATTTCAATTATTTGGTGCATAAGCAGAGAATGCAGAACAACTGCTTGCAAATGCCTCATGTCTTTTGAGTATAAAGTAACATTAAGGAAGGAGTGAGCAAAGCAGAAAAGCAGGTGCTGGTGTTGGTCCAGGCCAGCCTGATCTGGGACAGAAATACTTCTCTCTCTGACTTAAGTAGTTCTGTGTCACTTCTCCAGGGGGTTAATCCAAGATGCTAAACCATTGTTTGGTTGTTATGTTCTTTTTTAAACCAAGCTCTCCACAGATTCCTACTCTGGTGTGGGCAACCTGTTGGCTCTCAGCCAGGGGGGTCTTGATGATGTAAAACTCGTTAGTGAGGTGAAGACCTGCAGCCAACAGGGTGGATGTGGAACTGTGTGTGGTGTGGTGGCAGCTCTGTTAATTGTCTAAATGAGGTGGGCTAGGGGAGCTTGCATCTCTGGGAATTGTACTTCTGTGTGCAGGGATTTAAAAGGCAAGGATTTGAGTGCTTTGACAATCTATTTAGAAAGAAAACACGGTGGTTTCGAGCGCTACGAAAGGAGACTGATAATACAGGTTGTTCCTTGTGGAACCTTGAAATGTGCTTAACGGGGGAGGCATTGCCTCTCATAAGTCAAAGTTAATGATCCTTTCAAAACTTAGCTGTAATTACTCTCCTGAATGTTCTGGATAATAGTAAAAAGCTCTATTTTTGCCTGGTGGTGCAGTGAGAAAGCTGCATCAGTCTGGAGTGTAGATCAGTGCAGAGCCCAGGTGAGGGGAGGGGTCCCATGTACGGAATTCACAGATGTGCTCGGGCTTGTTTGAGATGTAAATGAAGAGCTGAGTGTGTCAGTTTTGTTCTCTTGCAGATGGCACTTTAACAAGTATATTTTTGGTAGGATTAGGAGGAGAGTCATCTTTTCCTCAGCCCTTTTATGGTAGGAGTTTGTCTGTGTTGTGTAGAAAATGTTAAATACAACAGCCACCAAAATCCTGAGCTGTGGTCAGCGTGGACCCTCATTTGTTTCTACTGAAAACCAAAAACGTGAGCACTTGACAAGACTGTAAATGTTAAACTGAAGCTTCATGTTCTGAGCTTGACACCATCCTGTAAGACCAACCCAAGGGTTGCAGTGCTGGTGTCACCCCGAGAGTCCCTTTTCCTTAGGAACCCCATGGTGTTTGGGAATCCCCTTTTCCACCATCTGAACACAGTGGCAGCAGTGACAGGTTGGTTTTGTAAGGATGTAGCTGGATTATTTGGGTAACTTATTTTCATGAGAGAAAAACTGCAGCTGCTGCCTAAATCCATAAAGCTGAAATTCTTGAACTCGACGGTTTGTTAGTGCTGTTTTAACTTTTTCCAGAGACACTGAAAAGGATGAGCAGCAGCACAGCCAAGCTCCTGGCTCAGCAGATTCCACATTGATGGTCCCATCAAAGTCCTGGAGGGTTTAGTTTTCCCACTGCTCGTTAGCAAAGTGGTCCCAGCACCTCAAATCCACCTTGTGTTATCCTGCCAGTGAACACAAGCTCCCTCTGACATGGATTCCCTGCTTTCTGCTCTCACAGCAATATTCCAAAGCAGGCCTGTCTTTATTGTCCACTGGACATGGAAAGGAGGTGTCCAAAATCAGTTATGGAATGGGCAGGTACTGTCAACTCTGTCCCACTTTTCTCTTGATCTTTGCAGAGAATCCAGGGAATTAATTGTCTGTGGCACTTAAAGAGCACTTTGTGGTGCAGCTGTACATCCCCTGCTTACCCCAGAGGAGTCAGAAATGTCTCTTTCTCAAGGTTGTGGAGGGGAGTTTAGGATGCCCCTGACTCATTTTTTTAAGGAAGAGATCTCCAGAACTTCTGATTAGCACCTTTCACCAGCACTAGAAAAAAGCAGTAATTAAAATTACAGCTAAATACCAGTCACTGGAGGCTCATCTGGTGATTCATGGCAGACACCAGAGGCGAGAACAAAAACACTTTGAGAGTTGCTGCTGCCTGTTTCAGGTGACAGCTGTGTCTGCCAAGGACCTCGGTGGCCTTTTGTGCAGCCTCTGATACTCAGCATCAAGCAAGAATTTCCACAGTCGTAAAACTGAATTTAAAAAAAAAATCATCTGTGTGGCTTCCATCAAGTTTATTTCTTTTCAGAAAACCTGATGAAATGAAGAAAAAAAAAAAAAAAAGCTATTTCCTGACAAAATATTGTGGCCATGAGCATCTGTAAGGCCGTGGTCCAGCTCTCATCCCTTGGATCCTGTTGGCAGAACATGTGACTCCAGCCCCCTCTTAGAGCTGAGGATGGATCTGAACGAGGCAGAAAGGCAAGAACCAGGGAAGGACAGAGTCCTAATGCAGCTGAGCAGAGATGTGTTGCTTTTCTTGACAACCTGGGAAATAGGAATTAAGAAATCTACTATTTAAAAGGAACCTTTTTCTTTTCGTTGTTGTTTTTCCACTTGGGTTGCTAGCAGTGTAAAATGTAATTTAAGCATTTTTGTTACCAGTAGCTGAGTAGGAGATGTTTACTTTTATGTGTGCTTTCCCTTCTGCTCTCCCCATTCACAGTCCCGTTGTGGTAACTTCCTGAAGGTGTAATCTTTGTAGCATGATTGTACAAACACCCATATGAGATTCCTGACTCTTTGTTCTCACTGAAGTATGTTAAAGCAATAGTAGTTTTACTTCTGTCCTCCTTTTCTCCACCTGCAACTTCGCTACTCCCCTGTCCTAGAGGAATCCTATTATCCTGCTATTCATTGACATGGATAACTGCAGTGTCCCTATATTCCTTTATTTTTATGGAGAAAACACAGAAGGGTTTGTTACAATGGATTTTAACACCCGAGTCATGGAACCATATTGTTGAAACTCTGTAAATTTTAAGGCAATTTTCTGAAACTCGCTTGAAAGTGGAATGTTGCATTCTTTTATGCTATTTCCCGCTTCCTATGTAGTTTTATTCAGATTTTTTAACCTTCTTTCTAAGTTTCAGCCTCCTGTGTATTAGGTACAGTATTTTCTGCCTTTCATACTTTGTAATAAAAACGGAACATTTGTAGATCGACTGCAGTTCACTGTGTGGTGAGTTAAACCTGGGGGGAGCTGGGGACTGAAAACGAGCTTCCTTCACTCTGTGTGGAGTTTGTTGCTGCGAAAAGGAGCTTTGTCTTGCCCCTGCAAAGCTGAAGTGTATTGATCTCCCGTCAATACCCAAACAAACTCGATCATTCCAGCTACTCTTAAGTTGCAAATTACCCCAAATAATTATATTTTTAAGAACTCAGTCACAACAGAACTCAGCAGAACGGGTAATGCAGCTGTACTTCAAATATTTGCCTTCTTAAAAATCTGCTGCAGGGTCCCTGTGTCCCAGTGTTGTTCATGCTGATGTTTTCCCACTCCTTTGCTCGTTCTCTGCACAACGAATGGGAATTACCTGCTGGCGTGTTTTCATTTTTAAGATGAGGGGAAGAGGAGTGTTTTTAAATTCAAATAATTGGTCTCTAAGGGGGTTTTGAATACAGGCAAATTGAAGACAAAGCAATTAGGCACCTCGGTAGCTTTAAGTCTCTCCTGTGCAGGGTGACCTCTGTTAGAGGGTGTTTTTCTCACTGGTGTCGTGGCTGGAACTGGGACTGAGATGGAATGGAGTGACAAAGCTTGGAAAGTTGTACCTTAGGCCTTGGCAAGCAGGACTGATGACTTCACTAAGTATTTAGATTAACTCTAGTTCAACTAAATTGTTGGGTTTCTTTCTAATTCTTTGTGTACTGGCTTGGAAATAAAAGCTTATTAAGCTTCATGTCCACAGTGGAAAGAGTTGCCTGCAAAGATGCTGCAGTGGCTTTTAAGCTATATATGGGCTTTGTTCTAGCAATCCCTGTTTGGATAAGATGCTTTTCTTCTAAGAATTGTTTGTCTTTTTACCCTAGAACTGTATTTGCATCCTCCTAGATTATTTTTCCCCTTGGATCTGTGGAATTCTCCAGAGAAACCTTCTCAGCTCCCACTCTGGTGGGAGGAGGCAACCTGTGCAGGTTGGAGCTGCTGGTGCAAGAAGTCGTGGACTGGCAGGTGATGGGAGAAGCAGATTCCCTGTCAGTGAGGCCAAACAGGTGCCAAAAAGTCCTGCAGAGGAATGTGGGGAGAAAAAGAGACAAGCAGAGGGTTCTCTCTTTTGTAAGTGTTAAGGAACAACCAACATCTGGCACAGCTGGGTTGCTCTGTGACCTTGGGAAAGTCACTGCTCTGATACCAAATGTAAGTGAAAAGCACATTATTAATCCTTGATCAGTAAATGGCTTGAAAATACTTAAAAATGAAAGAAAACCACCATGGTAGCAAGCAATAGGTGTAGAGAAAAAGTGGTGTCTGAGGTGGTTTTGGGACCTGTGACTATAACAAGCATTTAATTTTGTGCTTTTTCATTAATGCTGCTCTAGAAACTGTCCAGGCTGCCAGCTCAGAGGAAGCAGTGAGATAAATGCATATAATATTTTTAACATCCTTCCTCCTCTTCCTTCTTTTAATTTTACCACTCCACAAGCAGAAAGGCTCCTGGTTTTTAACCAGCTTCAGAGCCCCCTCTGCTGGAATCTGTCCACAGCCAGGCACAGCCCTCAGGAATGGGACAAGGGCAGGTACACACGGTTGGGAAAGGCTGCTCCAGGCATGTTTTGAAGGATTTTCTCATGATTGATGTGCTGGAGGAGAGTTTTGGCCAACATATCTCCTGCCACACTGCCCTGAATTTGGATAGCAATGATAGTTTTTCCATTAACTCTTTTTGAAGCTGAGGACACGACAAGGAAGTGCTGGGAGAAGCAGAACTGCCTGGCATCAGTGAGTGACTCAGATCTGCAGAAGAGAGTGCAGAATGCTTCCATGCATCCTTTGAAGATTGGCTGCCCCAACCCTGGAAGTGTCCAAGGCCAGGTTGGACGGGGCTTGGAGCAACCTGGGCTGGTGGAAGGTGTCCCTGCCCATGGCAGGGGGTGGCACTGGATGGGCTTTGAGGTCCCTTCCAACCCAAACCATCCTGGGATTCTCTGATTCTATTGACAGGGTCTCTCCTCCTCCCCCACTTTCTCTGGCTGTGGAGTCCAAGATGTAGAATAAGGAAGTTTTGGCATGGGACGAGGAGCCTGGAGCCTGCTCAGCTCCTCAGGAAGGATGTGTCTACCTAAACAAGAAGGGAAACAGGAAGGAAAGAAGAAATAGTACATCTGATAGCAAGGAAAAGAGGCTCTTTGAGTCAGGTACACTTCAGCAAATGGAAATACTACCAAAATAGAAAATAAGACGATGGCAGAGTGATTAAGACACTGGGGGAAGATGCCAGGAGTTAAATCCCAAAGGTCTACTCCAGACTTCCTGTGTAAGTTTTAACGAGTCACTGTCTCTCTGTGCAATGCCCTTAAATCCCTAAAATAGGGATTACACTTCCTTTTCTTCCTTGATGCTGCGTGACAGCATTAAACCATTAGACCTCTATAAAGTTCTTTTAAAACAAATGGGCTGCCTGGAAATGTAGGAGCTCCTGGAGAGTCTCCATGAACGTCTTTACTGATGATTTCACATTAAATGGCCTCAAACAATCTGAATAAATAGGAGAGTTAAGTATGTTCTGTAGCTGCTGTTTACAGGAGTGAAACTTCTCTGCTGGAAAGCTGCAGTTTTGGAAGGTCAAGGCCAGGTTGGACAGGGCTTGGAGCAACCTGGGCTAGTGGAAGGTGTCCCTGCCCATGGCAGGGGGTGGCACTGGGTGATCTTTAAGCTCCCCTTCATCCCAAACCATCCTGGGATTCTGTGATTATGCACAAAACTAGTACAGCATTAAGGTGGAAAAAGAATTACACTTTTTTTTTTTTCTCAAGTTACACAAAATAGGGGCACCTATTTTGGTAGAAAGTTGGATCCCTGCTCAGCAAGGATCTACCATCTTGTAAGGGGGGGGGAAAGGGTGTGAGGGTCTGTAGTGGTCCAAAAAAAGTCCTGATGGCACTTCACGTAGATAGTGATGGGAGAATGTCTGGAAAATGGGGAAACCAGCAGATAAAATTGTTGCTTTGCACATTAGCCTTGACAGGTGGGTGAAGTGATGAGCTGTTAAGGACAAATCATTCTATTTTCAATTTGAACGAAGAGGGGAGGGGGAGGGAAGCTTCAGTGAAATCCAGACACCCCGGGCAGTTGGGGATGGGAGGAGTGAGTTTCTCCAGGGTGGGTGTCTCCTACCATCTGCTGGGAGCTCCTGGCTCCTGTCACAGCCTGCAGCTCGCTGCTCTAATATCTCTTGGACTTAAATAAACTGAGTTTCTCCATGAAGGACATGGAATCAGTCCCACTTAACAGGACTTCAGCTGAGAATTTTATGTGCAAACATGTAAGAGCTGCAAGATAGACAAAAATATCAAATGGGAAGGTGACGATGGAGTGGTTTGAAATCAGGGCTGGTGCAGTGGGGAATTGATATTAAATTCCTCCCTGCCAGGGCGTGGGGTGGGCTCTTCCCTCTCTTAGGAAAAGCCTTTTTATAATGACCTTGGCACAAAAAGCGAGAATTAAAATCAAATTTGGTGATGAACAAAAGTGTGAGGCTTCAGTAATTCGAAGGAACTGGAATATCTTGGAGATCTGATGACTTTGAAGAGTGAGAAATAGAGATGAGATTAAATGTAGCAGGCTGGGAAATTAGGGACAAGGAGGAATTTGTGAGGGATACTGAGAGTGTTTTACTTGGAAATCAGTGAGGAGAGGAAACTGGGATTTAGTGGTTGATAAAGGATAGTGATGAGCCACCATGAAGCTGTGAAAATGAATGTCAAAAAGTGGTTCCAAGATCACTGATGATGCTGTCAAACGAGAGAGGAGTTCAAACTGGAACAGGGGCAAAAAGCTACCAGGAAGATATCACAAATACAAAGCTTGTGTTATGAAGGGAGAGTGGCTGGATTTCTCTTACAATGAAGCCTGAAAGGAGATATGATTATCTTCGTGATGTATTTAGAGAGACAATTCCAGGGAAGAGGGAAGTATTACTTAATTAAGAGGATAATCTTGACATGGAAACAAATGGCTGCAAGCTGGGCATGGAAGTGGGATAGAATAGAAAAAAAAAATAGAAATGCTTTCCTGGCATCAAAACAATAGGACAGGAGGGACTAAAGAAAAAGAGAAGTGTCAACACTCACAGCATCAGCCTGGTTTTGAGATGGGAACTTCAGAGTGGGATCTATGGGAGTCAGGGAGTCCAACCTTCTGCCCAAAGCAGGACAGCTGCTCTGGGTGAGCAGGGACAGGGCCAGGGAAGGGCTGGAGCTGTGCCAGGGCAGGGTCAGGTTGGATCTCAGGGAAAGGTTCTTCCCCCAGAGGGTGGTTGGCACTGCCCAGGCTCCCCAGGGCAGTGGGCACAGCCCCAAGGCTGCCAGAGCTCCAGGAGGGTTTGGACAATGCTCTGAGGGACAGGGTGGGATTGTTGGGGTGTCTGGGCAGGGCCAGGAGTTGGACTGGATGGTCCTTGTGGGTCCCTCTCAACTCAGGATATTCCATGATTCAAAGTCAGATTATTGGCTTTTCCCACAGCTTCTTCCTCTCCAAGGCTCAATCTGTGGATCAAAGCATTCCTTCACCCATTTCCATGTCTACCTGGTATGACACCATGAGATCTTTTTATTACCCCATCTAGACACTTTAAAAAAATACAAAAAAATCCATGATATCACACACAATGCTGTCATGCTTTGGCTAAGTCCCAAATTCCTCCTGGTGTATGGGTTTAGATTCCTTCACTTGCCCACACCTTTGAGCCATTTCCCTCTCCAATCTAGTTCCCTTCTCCTGGCTGGAGAAGAAATGTGGCTTATCCAGTTGCTGTAACCCCTGTGACATTGCTGCTGTGTTGTTTGTGAGCAAGAAAAAACCCTCCCAAAGCCCTGCACTTGCTGCCAGACCTTTGCCAGATTGAAAAGCAGCTGCTAAAACATCTGCTCGAGGTGGGTTTCCCAGCAGCAGGGTGGCCCTGGCTGCCCCAGGGAACCAGGGCTGGGCTTCTTTTTAGAACAACAAAC